CTGGACCCAGGGGGAGCCTCGCACGGCTCCTGCCTTCGCAAATGCTTCACGGCGGGACAGGCTGGGCCGGGCGCTGTGGTGGAAGGGCCCGTTAGAGCGTGCTGGAGCTAGTAGCAAGCGATGCAAGAGGCAGGTTAAAACCTGTTTTAAAGAACTGGAAACAATCGGTGCCCAGCGCTGATGTGCAAGGAGGCTGGAGTCCGTGTACGTGCTGGGAAATGACGGGACAGGGTCCCGCTGGCTCCTCTGCCGTTAGGGAAACATTAACTTAGAGTTCTGATATCGTCTGGTGAGAAAATAGATTAGAAAGTGCAGAAAACAGCTTGAGACGAAATAGGCGCAAACGACCATGCAAATTCCCATTTTTACGGTTGATGCCTTTACAAACCGGCCATTTTCTGGAAATCCTGCGGCAGTTTGTCTGCTTGAAAATGTAAGTTTAAAAAAGAACTATTTTATGAGGCACTGCAGTGGTATTTGCCATTCTGTACTTGGCCTGAGCACTCAGCACTGCATTAAACTTTGCTTCCTTTACTCGAGAGTTCTGCCTGCAAGCGTAGTTTGCTGTCGCTGCAGAATATAAAGAAATTAGCACAGGGGTATTCTTTCATCAGAACGATTTCACACAAGACATACTTTGTAATTTTTGATGTTTTTAACAAAATTATTTTTTTAAAGGAATATAAGCAAATGGATTTAGAATGAAATCTCTGAAAGGAGGTGCAATAACATAAAATCAGTACTCAGTAGTTTTTGAATGAAGTGTTAAAGTGTGGGGTTTAGGTTTTGCGGGGGTTTTTTTTGCTCCCCTTTCTCTCTCCTTTTTTTTTTTCTTCCACCTCGCCACTTTAGGTTTTCCTATGGAAGGAAAGAGGGGGACTATAGACCTGGATCTGAGTTTTTCACCGTTACTGTGTCAGGTTCAGCTTTAGCCAAGTTTAAGCAGCCAGTTTTTATCACTTCAAAGTTGCATGGTAGCTGTAGTGCAATTAACAGTAGTCATCCTTTGGAGTCTTGAGATTTTAACGTTTTTTCCACAGTACCTGGGGCTAGAGGCTTTAGTGTCAAAGTTAAAGCTGAGATTCTAGTTCATAATTTTATTCTAAGCTCCAGGAAAGTATGGTGCAGCTAGCAGCAATATTTCTGTTCTCTGTTCCCTTCCGAGTCTCAGCAGATGTTTTACAAAAACCACCGAGAGTAATTAATGCAAGAATAGCAAAAGAAGCCCTTTCTGTGCTTCAGAAGTGCCACAGGATGGCAGTATTTCAATAAAGTTCTATTATTTTTAATAACATTTTGGTTGGTCTTTGTTCTGGTTTAGTATCTTTTTAGTGTCTAATTGACAATCAGGACTATTTTCCTGAGGAGAGACGCTTGTTACTGTAAAAAGTTAGAATGTTGTTTCATTGTATAGAATTTGCTCTGCAAATACAGGTCTATGATACACATCAGTAATTGTTTCATGTCTGTAGTATGGGATCATTGGCTGAAAAAGATTAAAGTTATTAGGGGAAATAAGTAAAGTTAGCAGGGCAAATTTTTATCTGCCCGAGGTTGAACCTGTCCACTCAGTACTTGTTTTAATTTGTGTTTCAATATTTTGAAGACCAAATTCTCAAACCTGTCAGCGTAATTGTGAGGACAGAGCAATGGAACAAGGGTCAAGTCAAATTTTGTACAATCACTACAGCTCGTATATCCTGGGATCAATGTTCACTAGTTTAAATCTGCAGGCAGTTAAAGCAGAATGTAGTGAGCTCCAACATTTTTGTTTTTCGGTTTTCCTCCTCTCAGCTTCTACTGACTTGGCATATTGTTCCCATTGCTCAAAGAGTGGTACTCAAGGGTACAGCCGTAAGCACCAATCAGCCATCTTGGCCATTGCCTTAGACATTACTACATACCGCTTGCTGGCATGGATTTTTCAGAGTTATAAAAAGAGAGTTGTAGTTATTTTTAGACTATGTTAATAATAACAACTTCTCGGTGCCACTTTAATCATGACTTTAACAAAATATTCATGTTCATGGACAGGCTGAGTTTAGGTTTTTGGTGATTTTATTTTCCATGTATTCCAAGAATTTGTAAACTAACAGGACAGACATGAGAAAATGCCTATGTATCACCATGATTTGAACTAGTTATCTCATTTTATGCATTTTATACTTACCCTCAGAAAGTATGTTGAACTAAAAATGAATCTATGTTTTATTATAATAGAAAATGAAATGCCTGTATTTATTTGACAGAAAATTTGATGCTGCCTTTTTTGGCCTGCTTTTAATTGGATTTGTTTTTTCATCATTAGACCTTGGATGAAGATTTGCACCAAAAAATCGCAACAGAAATGAACCTTTCAGAAACTGCTTTCATCAGAAAACTGCACCCTGGAGATGACTTTACCAAAAGTGAGTGGTTCTCTTCACCCACCAAAATCTCTTACAAGGGAATAGGAAGACACTGTGGGTGCATTTATAAGGAGCGGTGCTAATTTGTAAGACAGCCAAAGCAAAATCTTGGAGTTGTGATGTATCTTACTTAAGATAATAATAATGAGCCTTTTGCACATGGATTCTTTGAAGTATTTGTGCTCTATATCAAATTCATTTTACAATATGCAAACACCTATTATTAATAAATTAGAACATTTGTTTTAGTGCCTTTTACTAAATAAGCAAGTTGTATATAGAAAGTCTCCCAAAAATGCTGTGCAGAGACTTTACTACTAATAATCTCCTGAGATAATTTCTTACCATACAAGCAGGAGAACAGAAATGGAATGTACTTATTCTGTATGCACAGGACTGCAAAGTGAGTAGAATCTGGCTTGGCTGTTCAGGAGGTCATCACTGGGGTAACTGTGAGCTATTTTAGTTTGTAACAAAGTCTCATAAGCTGTCTGTGGAGCCAATGCTGGAAAATACAGATTTCCAACAAAACTGGGAAATCTGAAGTTACCCAAATCAAACACATTAGGCTGCTCATTTGATTGGTTTGAGTAGAGGGACTTCCCTGGTGTTCTTTTGTAGGGCATGTATATATGTCAGGAGAGGAAATGGAGAGACACTAGACAAGTTAGAATATATCAAATACAGAGTCTGGTCAAAATTGCTTTGTGGATTAGTTTTCAGCTGAATTGGTTTGCTGAATCTGCTCGCTTTGCAGTTGGGCTGGAACCCCACTAGACTGCTGATAGATTCCAGGCCAAGTTATCATGTTGGCATGCCCTCACTTTGATACAACATAGTAGCAGAGAGACGTAAAGAGAGCTTTGCGGTTATTTGCTGTCTGAAAGAGGCCCTAGAACAGTATGCAAAGAAATTGTTCTTTATCATTTGTTTGTTTGTTCAGGGAGTGGGATTTTGTACAGTCTCTAAAGAGGATTTTCTTAACGTAGTAACTATTATCGCTTACTCTTATTGTTAATAAATTGGAATTTGTCTTAGGCTTAGGCCAATTGCTTGAATCAAAAAGTGATCATACTTCTCATTTTTCATGTTAACACCTTGCCAATATGTTTAATATGTTTATAATTTTAAAGTCGTCCATATCCAATAGCATATAAAATGCCAGCTGCTTTCTCATTAAAGTGCTTTTGGTATTAATGGGACTAGAGTTTGTGACATCAGACCCCTACAGCTGCTGAAGAGGTGCACAATTTTTTTCAAAGGAATTTATTCACTGAGCTACACCTGAGAATGTGTGTATTGAGGGATGGTGGGAGTGAGAGGAGACCAGGGACATCGAAATATCATTTATGAGACTATCATCTGCTTCTGGAACATTAACTGGTATAGTGAGGGCTTCTGGACAGAGAGTGTGTTTTTGCAGGAGTATGAGTTTTTGACCAGTGCCTATAATTTAATTTTAGTTTAAAAAAATCTACATTATTTCAGGGATACATTAATTTATAAGAGTACAAAACGTTTTCTCAGTCTGAGTACAGCTGTATGTCTCAAGCATCCAGGCAGGTGTTCTGGGTCACAGAACTTGTCTGTCTCCAGTCGGTCACAGCTGACTCCATTTCCTCCTGCTCTCAGCCACAATTTCCACTTGGGGTAGTGCATTAACACCACAGGGCAGGAGCACAGCTGGGCTCTGTGTCTGCCTCGTCTTGGAGCACTTCTCTGCCATGTCCATTAGTTTCATCCACTAGGTTTTCTGGGGATTCTATTTGTTTTCATTAGATAGGGGACTCTGACTTCAGTGCACTAATTTTTCATGGGGGCAATGAAAAGACTTGCTTGAGTTTTTTTTTAAATGTAATTTATTTCTTTTGTACCTTTTAGTTGTCTTTATATGGTAATTATTCACTTGAAATAGATTTTCATAAGCATGATCTTAAATGCTATGGTGCAAGAACACTGGAAAAGCTACAGGAAACCAAGTATAGTGCACTTGAGTTCCAATTTTTTTAAACAACAAATAGAAATATGATTTTTAGTGAAATGAAAGGTTAGTCTACATTAGAGGCTTTTACCAGACTTGACTGGTGGTTTAAGCAAAATAATTCATAACTGACATGGCTCTGATACAGCTTCCATTATACCAACAAAAGTATCTTTAACCCCTAAAGGGTAACCCAGCCTGCAGGTGTATAGAGATCGCAACCGTGACTTCATATGTTTCCACAACACACAAGGACATGGAGGCTTTATCTTCTAAATTATCTACTTTATTACAGATTACCAGAAATACCACAAAAATTGCCACTAGCAAGTATACCTATGATTAATAAAGTGAATATATCTCTCTCAAGCTATTATAAATTATTATCAGTGATCAACAGTATAGCAGGAATCAATAATAGCAGCAAGAAGTATATATATGAACATTACAAACTTATCACTAGTCAGTAATCAAACTTAGCAATAATATAACAGTAGATATACTTATGATAGATTACTTACATGTATATATTTATGGTACCAAGCACATTAGATTCCAGGAGGGAGGACAAATGGATGCCAGAAGGGGACCCAACTGTCCCAGAAGTGGGAGGACAGACAAAACCGAGCCCAGAAAGGTGCCAGAGCCCCCAGAATAAAATAACAGTCTCACTTCAAACATGATCTGTGTCATGGAGTTTGGAGTCAGTCATGTGTCCCCAGCAAGGGTCCATGATCTCATAGAAAGTTTGTGCAGACCTCTTTAGAAAAGGGAAAAATATATGCAGCACAGAAAACTCTTGGAGAGAGAAGCTCCATTTTGGGTAAAAAATAAGTGATTTTTGTGTCATAGAGACATAAGACAACATAGGACACCACCACTTCAAGAACCCAATAGATGCTGTTAATTTCTGTTTTTCACCTGGAACAGCCAATAGCTGATGATGTTTTCTATTCTTTTAGACCAATTTTTATTTTTCCAGCCTGTATGCCTGTTCTTTCAGTTAGAACAACCAGTGGCAATTACCGATTCTTACTTTCTCAGGATGTTTTCCCCTCTTTTCAGACTATTTTTCAGCTTTTCAGGTGATAAGTTGCTGTTACAGTTTGTTGGTTTTGTGCTTATCGATGGTATCTCAGTATGGGTCCTGTTTCTGGCTACACCGCAGCACTTCAGAGAGGCCAACTGCGCTTCTTCGGGGTGCTTTTTGTTCCCAGACTGGCAGGCATTTCTGCTTTGCAGCCCCTTTGCTCTTGTAACACAGTAGCTTTCCTCTATTAGTAGTAGACTCCTGTTGACCTGACTCAAAAGCAACAGCTATTCAAAAATCAGTGCAGAACAGGTTCCTAAAAGTGAGTTTAAGACCAAGACTGATTATAAAATGCATTTTTGACTAACTGAAATGTCTAACTGTATGAAGTTTTGAGATAAATTGAAGAAATAGACTTCTTAATAACACTAAATAAACTTTATTTTAAAGGTTCCTGCTTTGGACTCAGGTGGTTCACCCCAGCCAATGAAGTTCCTCTCTGTGGTCATGCTACACTTGCAGCAGCTGCTGTGTTGTTTCACATACAAAGTATGTTTACAAGCTATTTATTACTATAACTTTTTAGAAAATTTACTTCTAATTAAGAAGATCTCTGTTTTCTACAACAAAGGCAATTAAATGTTCAGAACATTTAGAGAACACATACGGAGATACCTTAGGTATTGTCTTTTACAACTGCTCTGTAATTGTAAGGTTGTAGTGTGATGCCTACACCTGGATTCTGAGGCCCTGCTATTACTCTTGGTTTAAGAGAAGCGCTAAATATGCAAATGTCAGCTGTGAGAGGTGCAGTAGAATGTGATGAATAGGGGATATTGCCCTTTCTATTAAAAGGAAACTCCCGTTCATTCTAGGAAGGTGCACGAAAGATTCACTGGCAACTGCTGTATTTATTAGCCTCAGCAGATTATTTATTGAATTAGTTGGGAATTTTGTCTCAGAATGCAGGTTTACTGTAGTTATTGTATTTTAGCTGCATAACTTAACTTTTTCTGAATATACTGTGCTACTCTAAGAGCTATAATAATTTTGATTCAAACTCCTATGTTTGATAATGTTGCAATGTTCTGTCTCTAGAAAACGCAAATTCAGTTCTCACATTTGTGACACTGAGTGGGGAATTAAAAGCCAGACAAGTGGAAGATCATGTTGTCCTGGACTTACCGCTTTACTTAACCTACCCACAGGTCAGTAAAAATTTTATTCATTAAAGGCTTTCAAGGCAAGTATGTGTTTATGTTTGCATGTGTATGTAAGTATATCTGTCTAGCTATAATTGGACGGATACATACATATATATGTTCTGGTTTTTACTGCATGGTTTTGTGGTGTTTTTTTTCCTTCAGGTACTTCAGGAAGTAGAAGAGTTAATAAAGGTAAAAAAAAAATCTCTATGTGGTCCTAGAAGCACATTTATAATAGCTATATTTATTTTTATATACTAAAATGGCTGAAAAGTGGCAACGTGGCATTGCTTGATGTATTTCTGAACTTGAAACACTAAACTGTAAACGTCAGACTCATGCAGCTCAGGAAATAGAATTCTCCAAAATAGTGCAGTTGAACTTTTGTCTCCCACTACCATTGACTGGAGGGTCAGTATTTATTTCAGTGGCATTTTTAGCCTATTGTATGCATGTAAGGGCAATCTAGTGTCCTTGCCCTCTTTTAGGTCCCTGACTTTCTTTCCAAGTTGACATATACAGATCTCTTAGCACCTAGCCATATCCATTCATGCACTTAGTGCATTTACTTTTCTTGCTTGCATGTACTTGAGGTCTGCATGAAAGACCTTGCATAAACCTTGTTATAGCAGAGAATTTATTGGACAACAATGTTAAGGAAATAATATTTCGTATTCAAATGATGATGTTTTTCTTTGCCTCCTTTACCTTTTCCACCAGGAAGCCATTGGTGACATGATTGTTCAAGATCTCCGTTATTCTCCTGACACAAAGAAACTCTTAGTCCGCCTCAGTGATGCTTATGAAAGGTGTCTTATACTTTTTTTTATAACCAAGTGTGCAGAAATTGAGTCTACTTGTTTAACCACTATTTCTTACATTCTAGGCTCTTTTATCTAGTTTTAAACAAGGTGGATATTAAAAACTCTAAATTCCTGTCTTAAATAGTTATTTTATCTTCTCCTGTGAGCTTATTGAACCTGCGAAGATGAATAAAATCAATCTGAAATCTATCTCCAAAAAAAAAGGAGGTGTAGGAAACAGTTTTAATGATGGTGTGATTTCCCCATCTGAGTAAAAAATTGAAAAAAAATTCCAGTAATCTAGCAGGAAATTGTGAGTCTTTCTTCTCAAATGAAGAAGTAACAGTTATGTAGCTATAGAGGTCTGCTTTGTGAGACAGGACACATTGACAGAATGCCATGGAGTCGTATTCTCCTTTGACTGTAATCTGCTTACACATACTTAACAGCATCATAAGTAGCTTTGTAGAGGAAATTCCTATTCAAATTATTTAAAAACATTTTTTAATCTCAGAGAACTGAATTTCATTGTTACGTCAAGTATGATTTGGCTATACATTGCCAAAACACAGATTCTTTAATCAGGCCAAATTACTACTATTTTCACTTGAAGTTTGGCCTAACTTATATTTAAAGGCTGGGCTAGTGAGGAGATAGAAATAGTCCCAACTGTGTCCTTATTATTTTTACTCTTTCAGACTTTATTTTGTAGGGAGGTATCTGCAGCTTCACAGGCTTGAGATTGTTGTAGTGTGCTTTAGAATCGTGTGAAGATCTGAATGATGCTAGTTGTTTGCTCTGAAAGGAGGTGGAGTGCTTACTCTTTACATTATGTAGTGAGGAAGTATTTTTTCAATGATTAAAATGTTCAAAGAAAAGTGTGTAGGTAGTATTTTTTGTGGCTAATATACCAGGATGCTCTGTTATTAGGAATAAACAGGAAATGCATGGCTTGAACTTTTTTCTCTGCTCACTCAGAGTGTATTATATTCAGGGTAGTCTTCTGTCAAATGACATTGGGAGGACACTGCTAGGAATCTTGTCTCCTCTAACATTTTACCATGGCTATTTTGGGATTGTAGAGAAGGTGATTTTGTAGTTTTCTGTTTCTTTTCAACACTTAAATTAATGTAAAATGAAGAATATGGACTATTAGCATTCTATAATTATATTCAAGGTCTGTGTTGGAGGAACTGCAAGTGAGCGCGCAACGCTTTTTGTCAGCTGAAAAGACGGGAAAAGTGAAAGGACTCATACTCACCCTTAAGGGAAATTCCAGTGGAAAACATAAAGGCCATGATTTTTACTCCAGATATTTTGCACCTTGGTATGGACTTCTGGAAGACCCTGTTACAGGTATGTGTTTGTGTGATAAGTGGCTCTTTCTCTTGTTTCAGTTCAATTAAAAGGGTCTTATTAAACTTCATGGATCTGGTTTTGTACTTCAGAGTCTTTCGTCTAAATTACTGTTTTATATGGACAGGAGGAGTGCACTCATTAAACTGAAAACTTTCATGACTGATGCCAACTCATTCAGAAAAAATCAACTTCTTGCTGTCATCAGGCCAGATATTCCTGTGTCGTTTTTCAGATCTTTTCTCTGAAGTATTCCAATTAGAGAAAAGCAAGAGGCTAGTTAGATATTGAATGAGTATTGAATGAGAGGTAGAAGTTCATACCCGCTTCTGTTGGTGCTCTGTGTGTTTTTTTTGCACTTCATCTGAGATGTCCTCTAGTTTCTTGACACTTCTTGTGGATATTCTCAGGCCTATGAATAATATGAACTCAGCTAGTTGTATATTGAGGGGCAGGAAGGCTAGTTCTCGGCCTGTTCCTTTGATGTTCCACTCAGTAGGTGCGATAATGATTGCTGCAGAATAATGTTATTTGCTTAGGTACCAGTTAATCACAGGTTAATTATTAGTCAGCTGAGAACTTGGTCAAAAATGCTCATTGAATGTTTTGCTAAATAGAGAGAAAACTTTCTTTGTTGGAATAATGCTAGTTATTCAGCACTCCTAGCAGAAAGAAAGGTTCACTAAGAAATATAAGCCATGTATTTCAGTTATTTTTATTTTAAGCTTTCAGTTCCGCTTTCCTGATAAAGCTGAGTATAGCCTGGTAGACATGTCTAATCCCGGAGCTCATTCCTTAGGATTTCTGGGAAGACTGGTATTGATATGGACGAAAACCTAGAAGTTTCCTGAATCTGAGAATTTTCTAGGCTTGTTATAGCTCACTGTTGCTTGTCTTCCATCTTTAAGTGTCCTTTCTTTTATAGAAATAAATCTTTTTATTGTATTGCTGAAGTATACTTTTAACAGTGTTACGGCTTTATATTATATTTCTTTTGCAATGATTTCTTAATAATGCTACATGTCCCAGTGTTTTTGAGCCCTGATGATTATAAGTTACTTCACAGTAGGGTTTCCAGCAGAGTGTCTTTGCCCCTAGCTGCTAATGTAGGCTGAAGCAGCATTTCTAGCTATGAATCTGAGAAGTCATCCTAAGTTTTTAAGCCATCTGCTGGTCAGCAAACAAGAAATTGGTCTTAGTTTTCAGAAGCTGTGGTGAGAGACCTTTAAGATCAACTTGAGTATACCTGATACTTACCAGCATTCAACACTGGAAAAAACCCCTGAGGTTTTGTTGTGAAAACTATTAGGAGAGAAAATGCTTTGGTTTTACACAATGACTTCTGTGCACCTGTTCCTATTCTTAAAAAAGAACCAAAAGCCTGTTCAGATTTTTGATGGGTAGCTGTTCATGTTTTTTTGAATAACATCATGTTTAGATGAATAATATTTTGAATTTAGTATTTTGAGATTCTGTTATTAGGAAACTTTACTTTTTGGTGAAAAAATGCATTTTTTTGGCTCAAGTATTTTAATCTGTACTATTTGTTATTCCTATCAATTGTGGCTAGTCATGAAGCCCTCACCTAGGCAAAATTTCCATTGAAACCAGAGGATGAGGAAGTAATACTGCTTTCTTGTAAATAAATAAAAAGTTAAAGCCTTAAGTTCCATCTGCTGTGCAAACTCTTTGGTGTTTTTGCTCTAGAGACACATGTGACACTTGATGCGTTTATGGCATTTACGTTTTGAATGTGCTTGCCCTATAAAGTACTGATTGTAATTTAATTCTGTACTTTGTTTTCCAATTTATTTTAAGGATCTGCCCATGCTGTTTTAAGCAGCTACTGGTCAGAGCAGCTGGGGAAGAAGGAAATGCTCGGTAAGAGAAACTGTTTTTTTGCAAAGCTACCTGTTTATGTAAAAGCTACTTATTAAAAAAGAAAAAGTTATATTACTACTACAATCCAAACTGTAGCAATAACTCCCTATCCATTTTATCAATATGAATAGACTATTATATTTTGTTTGTGAGGTGATCTTTAAGAAATGCTTTCTTTCCTACTCATCAACATGACACATCATGCCTGTAGGGAGTTTGAGGTCTCGGTTTCTGCATTGTAACTCTCTGCACTTAGTTTTTCATTTCAACTTTTGGATTTTGGTTCTCATGACTTCTCTGAAGATTCTTCAGAATCCATAATGTTGGGGGAAAAAATCCTGACATATTTTCTGAAGAAGAGAAACTGTCTTTGGTAATTCATCCTTATGGACTGGCTGTTTCTCAGAAGATTTTGGCATTTTTGGATGTTAATGTGGAATTTAAAACTCTTCCATGCCATCTGTAGATGCTTCTTTTCTAAGTAATCAAACAGACAGGAATTCTGTCTGCATTTTTAGATTATACTTTGTACCTGTTTTGCATTTTCCTGTATTTTGTATGTATTGTACCATTTCCTCTTTTAGCAAAACTATCTCAAGCAGCAAAGGCAATTGATGCTGTAATCAGCTTGTCTAATGTCTTTAGCATTAAAAAGAAGTCTTATCTTCCCACAAGATAGTTTTTTTTTTTCTTTTTCTTCTTATTTTTCATATTTCATGCATATATGTCCTCAAACTTCTTTTGTGGTAGAAATGATACAAAACAGATTTAAAGAGAACAGGTTCAGCTGACATCAGATCAACATGTGGTCTCTACAGTGTTTATGAGAAATAACTTTTCCTTACACGCACGTGACTGAGGGATATCAGGGAGTACTAGGTTGAATTCTATGACTAATGAGATTACTTGGAAAAGGTGGCCGGGAATCGAGAAGATTCCGTATCACCAAAGATTAACAAATAAGAGCATTTTTTTGACTTTTTAGAAACCTGTGCGGTAGATTCTGTAATATCTGATACCTTTTATTGCAAGAATGTAGGAAGATTTTTCGTCCATAAAATGAAAGATCTCTTAGTTCCAAAATAGATCAGCTATGAAATAATATAAAAATGAGGAACATTAAATCTATTGTCAGATCTCGCTGGGTATTACGATGTCTAGGAGGAGGTCAGCTGCATATCTGCTGAAGTATTGGACATAATATCCTGTGTTTGGGTTCTCTTCCTACTTTCATCAGGTCAAATTGTCAAACAATATAACCACCCCCATCAACTACAAAGAGAATTTTCCAGTCTTTTTACAAGGTGAAATACTTTATGTGGTTTCAAGAAAGAACGTACATATCCATTAATTTAAGCTGAGTGTTAAATTGGACTTCAGTATCAGTCCTTGCCTTTTTTTTCATTTGGAGAGTCTCTGCAATATTAAAAAAATTATAATCTCTCATATCAGATGTATAGACTTTCATGATTGCTAATGAATGCCATGTTTAGCAACTGTCTCCATATCCAGCCCTTTACATAGTTTTCACATTTCTAAGATAACACTTGCATAAGGAATTCAATGTAACCATTGAAGTAGAGGATTTCCCAAATTATTGTGAATAGAAGGGACTTTATCCAGGACAATTTTTAATCTCAGGTGAAGCTAGAGGAATCTTTCTGTACCTGTTTACTTCAGACAACTGTATTAATTTGTGGGGCAATTTTGGTTCTTGTAACTGCCTTTAACTTCTCTGATCACTTCCCAGTACAGAACAGGTTTATACCATTTGAGGGTGGTTTTTTTCGGGGACACACACGGACCAACCAAAACCCAAACCTTACTTTGATAACAAGATCATACTTTCACAAATCTTGCCAGGATTTGTTTCATCTTCTAACTTTTCAGTCTTCTCACTTTTTTTTGTGTGAAGAAGTTGCTTTGTTCAGGTAGAGTAAATGTACATGTATTTAAGTTTTTGTTAATTTGAATTCTCATGAAGTGAAGAGTTTTGCAGAGTTATAACTGCAGCTTTGATCTTTCCCTGGTAATCTCAAGATATAGATGGACTGCATCAGATTTACACATAAGTGTAACATTTCTGACAAAGGATAGGTGTTTCCCTCCGTCTATCACAAGATTTGTCTACCTTTCTTAGAATAAAAAAAGTCTTCGAGATCTTAACTTAAGGAACAAGTGCTTCTTTCATCAGTCTTTTCATAGGGTTTAGAAAGTCGACTAAAATAATAGTGATTTCTAAGAATAGATATTTTTAGAAGAGTGGCATTTGTTCCTGAGTTGATGTCATTATGATGATGTCATGAAGAAAATCCATTACTCAAAGTTTGTAAGGAATGGTGATTTAGATACATCAAGGCTGGTAAGAAGCTCCTCAAAACAACAGGATGTTAGTACAAGGCCCCTTGTGAATGCAGGAGTGCATGATTCTATGATTCTGTTATTTCAGCATGCCCAATCTCACAGTCCTTGTACCTATTCTTAAACTTTCCTCTGTCTCACGTTAATTACAGAGGAATTCAGGGCACTGTGAATTCAGCTGTTTATATATTATTTCTACAGATCAGAATGTATGTATTTGTTTTTATGCAACACATACATAAAATGTATATGTAGTATGAGGTATTCCTAGTAAATACAGACACGGAATGGACATGCAACAACTTCTTGATCCAAAAGGTGAGTGCACATCAGAGATGCTTGGATGTCTCTGGAGGCATTGCTATTAAATGAAATCCTCTAGTTATTGAAATGTTCCATGCAGCTCTGTTTACTTTCAGACATACTGTGAAATATCAATGCTTCTGTGTGAGAGAAAGAAAAGATCAAGTATTATTTTTATATAAGCTTGGGTAAAATTTTATTCTGTGTTTGTTGGGTCTTTTTCTTCTACTTTGGAGGTTTCTTTAAAAATAAAATAAAGTGGACCAATGTCAAAACATTCTCAGTAATCCTGCCATGAAACTGAGAGCACTGGTTCCACATTTAAAGAAAGAAAAAACCCAAACCCCAACCAACCTCTGAAGATTTGAAAATTAATCTCTTTTATTTAAATATGCTATCATGAGAGAGTGGGAGAGTTTAGCTGTGCGTCTACACTTGGCAATAATAACTGGTCAATTTTAGTATGGTCTGGATCTTTAAGAGCCTGAAAAATTCCAATTGAAGGCATTACTCCATACATAGGTGTTATTCTGACAACTTAAAAACAATAACCGGTAGCTGAATACATAGAAAAAAACAAATAGTATCAATATAAGTCTCTATAGCTCCTGTTTCCACTGCTTTGGAGTGTTTGCTTTCTCTGAGAATCTAATACCCCATTATAAGGAAGAGCTTTCTTGTCAGCTGTGGCTGAGAAAGTGTTTTAAAGCGTACAGTATATATGCCATCTGTTAGAGATCCTATGCTCTGTTGTGATCTGAATACTGTCTCTACCCAATTTACAAATTGTGGGTTTGTAAGGAAAAACATGCTCTTTGGCTTTGAACAACTTTTGTATCATTGAGTAAGGAGACTGAACATGAATGCCTCATCATCCGTTTACAGCCTTTTACAAAAACAACACTCTATGAAACTCAAACCTTTGCTAAATGCCATCAGACCATTTTCTGATCAAGTAGTTGTGCAGCTAAAACTGGACTACTGAAACAAGTCTACAGACTCAACATGCTAAGTGAGCATTATTGTTCGACCTGTTTATGACTGAAAAGTTTAGGCAAAAGTTTAGTTTTGTCATTATTTACAAGTGGAAGGCTGTTCCTACTTAAACTTTATCCTACTATATTAAATGAAATATTCAGGATTGTATAAATAAATATCTGTTCCTGTCTACGTAAGAATTTGGTCTCAGTTTGTGACAGCTGAAGCAGCATCTATGTTTCTTAGTGGACTTTTCCCACTAGTTGCTTGAATTTCATCTACCTATTAGCCAAACACATTCTTTGAACCTAGTACCTACTTCAGATGCTCAATACTGCTAAAGCGGTTCTTCATTCCCATGCAGATAATACTCTGTTTTCTTCCTTCTTACCTACAGAAACTGTTTACTCCATGAATGGGAGAATCCAAGACTTCTTTAGATATACAAAGGAAACTTGGTTGGCTGCATCACAGCAAGCTATTCTTCACTGCTTGTATTAACTAGCATTTTTGTCAGACTCAGTAGACAAGTTCTAATCTGAGATACAGGCTCAGCTAATCTTCATCTTTAAAGACAATTCATCCAGGGTTGCCCTCGTGCAGTGCTTGCCCTGGTGCTGCTTGCTTTCTGGAGAGGGAAGCCTCATTTCCTTGAAGTTTTTGTGAATTTTTAAATACTTTGTGATAGATACTAGTTTAACTGTGGATTCTTGTTTCCATTTAGCTTTTCAATGTTCCCGCCGTGGAGGAGAGTTGAAGATTTCACTGCGTAATGATGGAAGAGTTGACATTGCGGGGCAAATTGCTATTGTATTAAAAGGAAACCTGAATTTCTGAAGAAATTGACAATAACAATTTAATCTCCCACAGCTTAAAACTATTCATATTCTGATAGTATCTTAGCTCTAGACAGTGAATCACCACTGTCCTCAAAAGTCTTTGATTACTTACTGTCCATTTAAAAAAATTGCTTGAAAATGCTCACTTCTCATCTACAAGACCCTTGCTATTGTTTTCTTCACTTTCATCCTGCCACTTCATCTGTACGCTGACCTCGGAAACTGTCCAAGGACAGCTATCTTGTTTTTCTGGTTTTAAGTGATTCTTTTGTTTATTTCCAAATTCCATGTTAAAAGCCATTCCTG